AGCGGAATATCTGCCGCTAAAAAGGCTTCGCATAAATCAAAAGAAAACTGTGAAAAACTACTATAAGAAAATTCACCAAGCAATTTTTGAACAGGAGCACTTTTCGTGGATTTAATTTTAATATTCTCTTTTGTATATCAGTGTTCAAATGTTGAAGCATTTGAAAGCGTTTTTCACAACCAAATGTTTTCTCACACGCTCGGAAATAAAGAATTTCGTTATCCGTACTTATCATCTCTCCTTCGAACTCCCGCTGATACATCTGTAATTTAGTTTTCTGACTTACTTTCATTTTCGGCATGACTACAGAAAGCTAAACAAACTTAACTACAGCCTACTCACCACTAATGTGAATGGCCCCAGCTTCAAATGAAGAAGCGTAACGAACCTCATGCAGAATTCGGAAATAAATAAGTGAAGTCCCTTATCGGTTGAATAGTATTACGTTGATAGCGGCTACATGTGAACGCTTCCGACTAATCTCTTCGCGGCCACTTTGATGGTACACGGATGAGGCAAGTTATGAGTACAGGGATCGGGGAAGTCCTGTCCTGGGTACTGCATCAGAAAAATGAATCATGATGAAATTTTGAGTCAAATATGCGACATATTCTAATACGGAAAAGAAAAATTGTATACACACGACCAGCATTGAAAATTTGAACATAAAATTAAAAAATCTATATGATAAACATTTTAAAAAGGAAATATGCAGTATAAATAGAGATCTTCGAAAATATGATGCTTATTCATAAAACAGGCAAAATATGCATTTATATGCACCGTCAAACCATGTCCAAAATTTAAGAAATGAAGTAATTCATACATATATCCAAATGAGCATACTCTCTGGTTGCAAGAAAGAAATATGCATTTGCATTAAAATCCGGTCCCTAGTTCTTACATTCGTCGTAACGCATGCGCATTCGTGTCCAGGATACTTACGTCATAGCCAAATTGACTGGTTGCTTCGCCTGATATATGCAGAGGATATCTGCTGCCTGGTCTGTGGCGAGCATATGGCGAGGCAGTCGCTTGGTACACGAATGTCGTAAAGAAAAATGCAACAAGCAGAACGGAACTCTTCATGCTGCCACTGAAACAAGGAGATACTCTATAACTGAAACCTCCTTCAGAATTCTTTTATCCCTGAAATATTTGTAAACCATTTCTAATGACTGAACAGTTCTGTCGAACATAGGCCTTCTTGAGAAGCTGATAGTCCCTCACCCATTCTAAGTCCTCAAAAGTCCTTCCGATATCCTATGCAGAATTTCGTATCATGTTGATCGTTTCACGTTTAGAGGTTCTCTGCTCCTGTCCCACACGACATTATATCTGGAGAACCACCCTTCATCAGCTGTCCACGACGGAGCTACCATTCATATCCAGAGGAAGCGCCATGTCATTGTGATGATGAATACATTTAATCTAAATAAATAAAATGGGTCTTTCTTGGGAAGCCAACATTGCTTGAGCTAGACAAGAAGCCAGCATTTTATGGAAACCGATGATTCATTACCGTGTCCACAAGAGCCTTCCACTGATCTCTATCCTGAGATACGCTCGAATTCCATTAATGTGATATCCATTTTAATATTATCCTCCCGTCCACGTATTGCTCTTCATGGTTTTCGCTTTTCCCCCAGGTTTTCTTACCGAAACTATATGCATTCTTCTCCCCCAATCGTGCTACATGCCCTGCCCATCTCATCCTCCTTGACTTGATCATTGTATTTATACTTGGGGAAGAGTACAAGTTATGAAGCTCCTCCTCATGCAGTTTTCTCCATCCTCCTATTATTTATTTCCTCTTTGGTACAAGTATTCTCATCGCCCTGTTCTCAAACACTCTCAGTCTCCGTTTTTCCGTTAAAATGAAAGATCAAATTTCGCGCCCATGTAAAACTACAAGCAAATAAAAAGTGTTGTCCTCTGAGATATAACGCCATGTAGTCCGATGAAAGTCAGCCGGTGTTTCGGGGGAGATATCGCCGGAATCGTCAGGGTTCAAGAGTTAATATTTTAACCCAGAAGATGGAATTCTTTATAGACACCGCTGTGAAAACCCTAAATCCAAAATAAGCAAATGTTTTCTAATCGTATAGGTGTGCATCATACGTTCTTATATGATATGTACACTTAAAACAGTTGTATATACAGGATGAATCTTATAGAACCGGTCCGATGAATTTGCTAATAATTCCGCAGCTGATGCATATAACCGCTCACAATTACGACATAATAATCCGTGGGCCGTGCTGAGTCGAATGGTGTGCGCATGATCCGGCAAGTGGCAGCCCTTATGCTGCAAGGTCAAGGACAATGCCGAAACGTGTCTGCAGTGCGCAGGCGACAGTCATGGAGTGCACTGTTGAAGAGCGAGTGTTTCTAGTGCATACTTGAAAACGGCGGACACTTTCAACACCTGCTTTGATCACGGTACACAATCCAAGATAAGATATGTGTAAATTACTTTAATATCTGTATGGTATATTTTATATTACAGCTCATTTCGTCGGGCCGGTTCTATATGAATCACCCTGTATTAAGGGAACACAAGAAGTTGTACTATGCAAGAGGGTGTGATAATAATGCAAAATGAAATTATAGAATGATTCTGCATACGACTGTTCTGTCCTGTATATTGCCGCAGCAGATTCTTTACAATTGTTTGCAGTGATCTACCAGACTGCGCGGTGTCACATCTCAATCGACAGTAGTGTCCGTATGACCGCAACGAAAACCCAAAATCTCGAAGCCTATATGAAAATCGAGGCTGAAACTGATAACGTACACTCAGCCCTCCGAATGTCCAACAGACCTCGATTTTCCTGTGCAGATATTTCCCCTCAGTGCTTCATTCTCCTGTAGACCTGTGTCCAGTTGCAATACTTAACTGGGACTCACTTTCTAGTAACTTTTGGCCCACACGCGAGGCTTGTACAAGGAAGCTGCACCGCGTCCTCAAAACGTAGGAGGAAGCATGTTCCTTACCTTCACAGTTTATAATTAGTTCTGCACTCCAGCTGGGTTCCAGCTCTGGGGTCTCTGGTCGTGAAGACCGCAATATGTATACCGCTGCTACTCCTAGAAGTGTGACATTATCACTGGCATGCCACAGGGTGACAAATATATGGCACACGACTGGCGCATGTCATTCGTTAAAGGATGAAGGGTCACGAAGCAGTTACACTCTGAGACAGACAGCTCTTCAAGATAAAAGTTTAATGTTATCCGCTCAGCGAATTATGGTTTGCACGTGTTATTTCGTAATGTGTCCGTTCCGAGACTACGAAGCTGACTAATTAATATCAACTGAGAAGCTGATAGTCATTCAACTAGCCAATTATTAAATTCTTCACCTAATATGGAACCTGAAACTGCGCCATTTGGCCCTCTTCTGAGCCAAATTAGTCTAGTTCACAGCTTGTTCCCTGTTTCCTTGAAGCCCAACTTAATGTTAACCTCCAGTGGACATCCGTTACGACACTCTGGGTATCTAGTCAGCATAGAGTCGAGTGTAGGGTGACTGGTGAATGACTTGAAAGAAATCTTTCATGACTTATTCGTTATATTATCCCGGAATTTTCCAAAATAGACTGAGAAAAACCAAGAAAGAACTCTGGATGGCTGGTGTCCTGGCTGTTACAAACAGATCACGTCCCAATTTGAGAACCAGGGCGTTATAACTGCATATACGTAAATCTGTGAGGGGATCTTATTTTAGACATTTCGATGAAAATCTGGTATGCAGTTCTCATGTCTTCTATGCGTGCTACATACACGAGTCATCTTACGCTCCTTAGTTACTTGCTGGTTAAATTTTGTTACAGTTAATTATGTGATTTTTTTTNCGTCTCACACACAAACTACGCTCGGTCTTAACGGAAACCCGAAATGCCTCTTTTCAACAATACACCTCAAGCTTAGCACCTGAAGACAACTCGTTATGAAAGGCAACGAAAACTCTCCGGAGACCGACAGTAGCAACCCCTCCAATCAGACGCACTGACGCCAGCTGGGCTAGAACAGACCCTGAAAAGGCTCAAGCATTTGCACACTATCTCGAAACAGTCTTCACACCCCTACCTACGAACAAAAAAAAATGTATGTGCAACAGATGTTGTACGTAACGATTTGTGTCGTCAGCATTNAGATTACTATCATCCGTAATGTGTCGCGGTGTAGTTTGGTAGACAGATGCGGGTGTTTTTGACGAACCTGCTGTCTCCAGTGTTCATCTGTACAGTCTTTCCTGAAGAGGTCAGCAAGTTCCTCCGAAACGTCGGTACGTACGTAACTTCACGGCGTCACATCGTCACAGTCGCAGTTATGAGAGTCCCATGCACAACTTATTCCCAATTTCCTTGCAGAAAGTCATTTTCAGTATGTGCAACAGATGTTGTACGTAACGATTTGTGTCGTCAGCATTTGCAATTAGCCGCGCGCAATACTCATCATCTGTCTCCTTTTCTATGAAGCCATTATCCAACGTCTGCGCATGCGTGCGCTGGGATCGCATTTATCTGAGAGCTCTGCAAGAGAGTAACACAGCAGCTGGTAGCAATTGGGGCCCACAAGGGAGTCGTGTCCCTATTAATGTTTAAAGCCAGATCAGGGCTGCGTAGGTCGCCGGCGTTTGGCCCCCTGTGGAAACCCCTCATGCCTCGTTTCTGTGATCCATTTCGAGATCAGCGCCTTGTCGCCCTGACAAAGTTCGTCAACGAACTCGTCTGGAGCAGCGTCCGTCTTAAAAAGACAATAATCCTTCTCACAGAGTCAAGAAATGAACTGCCTTTTACAGAACCCATATATTTGTTACATTTTTTAAAGCACCTGTCACTCCTGAGCCAGTTGAATCCAGTCCACGTTCTCACATCTTAATTCTTTATTATATACTTTAATAATATCCTCCCATCTACGCCTTGGTTCCCTCAAATGTTCTCCTCCCTTGAGGTTTTCCGACTGAAATGTTTTACGTGTGTCTGACTAATCTTCTTCGTGCTGCTTTCGCCGTAAAAATCATGCAATTTTCTGTTTCCGTCTGTTACTTTCCTCCCGGTAATCAAGATTACTGTCTTCTCTAATATGACGCCGTGTAGTTTGGTAGGTGGGTACCACTGTATCCTCCAAAGTACCCAACTGCACGGTATCAAAAGGCTGTAATAGCGATATCTGACGAAAATGATGGAGCAATGTTATATTGCTTTCGCTTGCGGTGTGGGGGTGGGGGGCAGAGAGGGGGTGTGTGGGGGAGTCTGTATGTGTGCGCGATCCCAGTATTAAATTTATGTGTTTTGCATTTCGGTAACAGTGTCAATTTGTGTTGTTAATATTACGAACAAATTCGACTGGAAAATGAAGGGAAATTGAATATCCCCATTTCCAGCCGAAATGTGATGTAATGTGTAAACACATGTCAGAATTCCGACCGATCATTAATTAATATTCTGTTTTGGCATTTGCGTGCTTCGGGAGAGGCGTGACACGGATACCCGAGTGCGGGGGGCGACACTGCGTTCTCTGATCTGGTGGTGCGTGGGTCACATCTATGCCGGTACTGAGTCAGGTAGTTCAGTTTGCATATTGATCACACTTCGGGATGGACGACCGGAGAATCTGGTTCAATTCCCAGAAAGATCGGAAATTTATCTCTTCACCAATGTTACTAGACCGGCCCTAGGGTTCTCCCAGTATTCTTCCTAATGTATAATCAGGGTTAAAGCGAACGGCGCGTGACGCTGACACGTTACCTTCATCTAGTACCGAAGATTACCGGAGGCTGGAGCTGACATCGCCCTAGCGTGATGTTTGCTGAAGTAACCAGAAGCCAGTGTATCAACGTGTAAATCGTACAGCTGACGAAAAGAGAAACAAATACAGGATTCCTTTCATCGTCTCGTTTTTTGTTGTAGAAAAACAATCGTTTCGAAAACTTACTCTGCTTCCGTCATCAGGTAAGGTTATGAAATTCATTCGTTGGGTCAATTACACCGAGGAAATTTGAAGGGCAGTTTCTTTAACTGAAACGAGGCGAATGGAGAAGCGCTGTGTGGCCTCAGTATAACTACTCAGTTCCTCATAAACCTTTAAGTGCACTTGATCACGATGATGACCATGGCCTTGTACAATAATGGCATCATCATGGTTCACATAACGAATTATTCTCACGTACTCTTGCAGCTTACCGTTTCGATTTCTATAAATAGAACCCGTTCAAGACGAGTCTTCCTTTCCCTACCCCCATATATTCTTTATAATAGTTGCATCAACTGTGATAGTTTTCATACGAATCTGTTTGTACTTTCATTGTTTCCTGATACCTTTACACCTTCACACCTTCACACCTTTACACCTTCACACCTTCACACCTTCACACCTTCACATCTTCACACCTTTACAAATTCACACCTTCACACCTTTACACCTTCACACCTTCGCACCTTCGCACCTTCACAATCCGTCATTCTGTATCCTACGGCCGCTGTGGCAAAATGCATTTGTGTTGCCTTCACTCTGATATGCATCTCGAAGCACACGTTTTCCTGTCTGTCTATATGTTACACATACACGTGTTCAAACTGCGACATTAAACTAATTTTTGCATAGAATAAGAAAATATTTTCCCCCAAATGTAACTAACGCTTTCGTATTTCAAACACTGAAATTGCAAAATAAACCATGAAAGCTCTGATACGGAAGTAATACCGAAAACTAGTTCAACTTGATGCATGTTATTTCTGTTTATAAAACTTGTTTATTCATTAGCTTAGGTCTTTTATCCAAGGAATCCGTCCAGGTCCGAGGCTTGAGCCATGTTATGGCTCTTGGATGACGTCATGCCTTCCAGCCATGTTAATCCCTACCCCTTCATCCCGTGCTGGAGTGTATCACGTGGGATTCCGCTTCCTCTCCCCGTCCCCTCCCCAGATGGCTCGGAAGAAGCCGGTTAGTGAATCTAAATTCATTCGCTGCTTGGATCCACAGCGTATCGGACGTNGTCTCTTCGCCAAGTATAATTAGAATGATCAAGTCAAGGAGGATGTGATGGGCAGGGCACGTAGCACGAATGGGGAGAAGAGGCAGCATCTAGGATATTTGTGGGAAACCAGGAAGGAAAGGGACCACTACGAAGAACAAGACGTAGGTGGGTGGATAATATTAAAACGGAACTTAGACAGGATGGGATGGTATGGTATGGACTGGATTGATCTGGCTCAGAATAGGGACCAGTGGAGGTCTCTTTTGAACAATGAACCTCCGGGTTCCATAAAATGCTGGGAAACTATTGAGTAGCTGCTGAATTGGCGGCTCCTCCATAAGGGCTCAGCTCCATGAGTAAATAAGTAAAACATGTTTATGTTGCGCTAAGCACATCCTGCTGGAAGCCCAGACCGCCGTGAACGGCTTTGTTATTCCAACGCGTGTACTCCTGTCTCTCTCTCTTGGAAAGTGAGGTGATGTTTCACGTAAACGTAAGAAGCTTACANGCAAAACATGTTTATGTTGCGCTAAGCACATCCTGCAGGAAGCCTACTGTTTCTGTTCAGTGGGCTCGTAAAGCCACAACAGCTACTGGACCCCCGTGAACGGCTTTGTTATTCCAACGCGTGTACTCCTGTCTCTCTGTCTTGGAAAGTGAGGTGATGTTTCACGTAAACGTAAGAAGCTTACATTTGAAGTTCAGAGAATGAAATATATCCTGAGAGAAGTGGCTTCGGTTTGAAGCTGACCATTCGCATCCATCACACGTCATTAGGCCCCTCCACCCCTCAGCGTTTCAGGCTTGGCGATTATGCACAAGGAAAACTTTGTGCTAGCTACCTTAAACCCTTCTAAATTAAGTGGGATATATTACGGAAGTTGATGGATCACGGCGTTGTTAGAAACATTATGGGACCTTTTGTATAATACAGCAAAGTCTTGTTTACGCAAAATATTTCGAGACTCAAATCAGTTGCGCTGATCTTCAGCCACCGTATCTACTC